ACAATAGTAACAACTTGATTTGGTCTTTGGCAGGTGTTGAAGGACAGTGCAGGGCAGCGGTCGGGGCTGGTCAAAGCACAGGCTGCTGCGCGATTCGTTGAATGAGAAGCTTTCAACACGCAACATCATAAGGTTAACTTCCTTGGCATGAGCGAGCGCAGCTGGGCCATCGGCCGGCGGCACTGGCCGGCGCTGGATTGCAGTGCCAGCAGTGGTGCAAGGTCGGGGCCAACGAGGCAGCCAGGCGCAGCGTGAGCACAAACAACACCCGCGCCTTGCTTGTCGATCGCTAACACAGCTCGAGCTTCACTCGACTCGCGCTTCCCTCGCGCAGAATCAGCGGGCGGCGGCCCTCACGCACAGAGCGTTGGTACGCGCAGACGACTCCCCTCGGCGCCGCGCCCTCATCACTCGCCCTTCTTGGACTGCGCGGTAGCAGTGCCGCCGTCGCGCCCCAGCGCAGCTGTCACGCCGGCTGGGCCGCTCGCGAGGACCACGTCGCCGGCCGCGGCCCAGTCTGCGGGCATCAAACTCCACAGGCGCCCCGCCCTCACTTTTTCGAGGTATGCATTGTGCTGCCACGACCCACATGCAAAGTTCGCCTCTCCCAACCCAAACGCGGCCTCATATGTGACCGCAAGAACACACTGCAGTGACAAGTGGGCCAAGTGGCATTGTGAGGGTCAGGGGGCGGAGGGCCGGAGAGGGGGGCGCTGGAGGGCGGGGGATGAATGAAAGAGGCTGGCGGGATGGCTGCGAGCAAAAAGGGCAACAGAGCTTGGGGGCGGCGGGGGGCGCACCCGGTGAGCACTTGGTGACCAGGGGGCGAGGATGGTTGGTGCGGCCCCGGGCAGTGGCGCTGCTGTTCAAGAAGTTGGCCAGCAAGCGCTGCGGCATCGCTCGCAACAGACCCTCGGGCGATCCGTCCTCCATCCAGCCCCATGCGGCGGCTGACCGCCCCGCACGTGCCCACCTGCACGGCTGAGAAGAGGCACCACACCCCAGCCCACTCAAGCCGCCACCGCGGGTCGCCCGTGGCAGCGTAGGAGGCCGCCTGCGACAGCAGCGGGCCTGTAACTGCCACGATGGCGGCCATCACGCGGCGGTGCGGCGCGTAATGGCCCGGCGCGAAGACCAGGGGGCCGAAAAGGAAGAGGAAGTGCACGAACCCGGAGGGAGTGTAATATGATGGCGGCTGCCGGTGATCATGATGATGTCATTGTTGTGAGGGCGCGCGGGAGAGTTCGGGCGTGGGGTGGAAGGTTGGTGGGTAATTCATTGATTGGACAGGCTTGCAAGAGAGTGAGCTGCGACATGCGCCAGTGGGTGAGGTGGAGAGGGGGGTGGGGGGCGAGGAGGTGGGGGTGGATGAGGTCGTCCAGCAGCACGTGGGGCGGGGGTGAGTTTGTGCAATTATTTCTTGGGGGGAATGGGGGCACAAGCAGGTTGCGCGCGAGGCGCCATGGCGCCTGGCAGGGTGCCCTGCTTTTGCTGCGTTCTGTCCGTTGTTTCAAACCCCGCCCCTGCTTTTGCTGCGTTCTGTCCGTCGTTTTAAACCCCGCCCCTTGCACCTGGATGGCTCTGAAAGCGGGCGAGCGTGGGGCGTGTGACGATCCCTATCACGATCCTCATCTTAACCCTCACTCGCCGCAAACAGACCTGGCCCTCATCCCCCCGCCAGCAGCCGGCAGCACGCGCACCAGCAGCGGCAGCTCCCAGGCGAGGTGCAGGCGGCCCCTCGTGGCGCACGTCCGAGGCCCGCACGCCCACTCCCACGCGCACACAGCCGGCGCGCCCGCAAGCGCGGGATCCGGCAGGCCGGGCAACCGCGCGCGCAGGGCGTGGGCGAGGCGGGGGAGGCCGAGGACGGGCAGGCGGAGCAGCGAGAGGGCGCCGACAAAGGTGGAAAGGGAGACGATGAATCTCGTGAGGTCTTTGTTGGGCTCGATCATGAAGGCGTAGAGGCAGACGCTGACTGGTTGGAAGCAGATGTGGACGTAGCTGAGCTGCGGTTGGCCGTGGTTGTGTTGTGCGTGTGCGTGTGTGTGTGTGTGGGGGGGGGGAGGGGGGGTGTTGATGTGCGTATGCGGGAGGGAGCAGGGATGAGGATGTGAGAGCAAGCGCGTGTATGTGTGGTTCAAGGACAGGCACAGTTGGGCGAATGGGTGCGGCGGGGTGCAACAGGAACGAGTCCTCTGGGAGGGGGTGCTGACGACCGCACACGTGCGCGGCGCAGCAGGCTTGGTGCGGACGTCTGAGGGCGGGAAGGTTTGGGGATGCGTGGCCAAAGGGGACGGGCCGCTTGAGAGGTTGGACGAGTATATGACTTTTGAGGAGTTATGGATGGGTGGCATGCAGCCATTGCTTGGAGGCAACGGGGTTTGGGGCAAAGCAAGATGGACGACCGAGACGAGGGGAGCTGCACAGGGGAGAGATGACCAACACTATTTGGACAGTCGTTATTCTGGTGCACCCCCGGAACCTTCAGGCGTGCGCCAATGATGCTGCAGTCCAGCCAATCCCCGCTTATACCCCCCCTCCTGCCTCCCGCTGCGCCCACCGTCGTCGTGAGCTGGTTGAGCCAGTGGCCGCAGTCGTCGACCACAAAGTACTGCAGGTACTGCAGGGCCTCCATAATTGAGAACACAAAGAAGAGCTGGTAGATCATGTTGATTTTGAGGCAGGGAGAACGGTGGGCGCGGGTCAGAGGGATGGTTATCCTTGCACACAGTGGCCGGAAAGCTAGTGGGCGGTTGGGGGCTGGCGCGGGGTTCGGTCGGCCCAACATGAGGGGAGCGGCCGACGGCTGGCCGCTGGGCCGCGTTTATTGGCGCAGTTGATGCCTTGGACAGCAAGGCGCAGCCGGAACGTTTGCCTATGCGATTCGGCGCCGCTCCCAAGCATCTCCGCGTCCCAAGGCCACTCCGCCCCAGTTCCCCCACCCCCGGGGCCCGCCCCTGAGGCGGCCCTGGGGGTGGGGGCATGTGCCTGCAGGCACCTGCGTCTGACGCCAGGGGCGGCCCCTGCGCGTCAGGAAGAGCCCCGTGCCGAAGCACAGCGTGAACATCGCCGCGGTGATGCCCTGATTGAAGCACATCTCTGCCTTTGCAGCCGGGCCTGATGAGGCGCAGCGGTTGGCGGCGGTTGGACGGGTTTGGTGCACCGACTACGGTATGAGGCGATGGCCTCGGGTGCCCGAGGTGTCGAGCGGGCGCAGGCATTAGGAGGAACGTGGAGGCCGCCATTATCACCTTCAGCGCACAGGCGCCGCACAATGGCGTTGTAAGGCTGGCGGTGATGCGGCGTGCAACGAACCATGGCGCGGTCAGGGGAGCAGGCGCAAAACGGAGTGCAGCGGGGCGCCAGCTCGCGAGCGCTCACAGCGGCCGCAGCTATGCGCTGGCGCAAATGATGATGTCAATATCTGTACCTGGTGAGAGTGCGCGCTGTGTCGGTGCTTGCGAACGGTGCACGGGATTCCCGAAACAACTCACTCGTTGTCGTTGCTGTGGTTAGGTATCGTGATAGCACCGCTGATGATTGCTGAGACTTCAGCGTTGTTGATGTATACATGCTCGAGGGCTGGCACATGGTGTCACCCGGGCTGTGGGCGCCCTGTCAGAGTCCTCATCACAATTCAATGATCCGTGCACACTTACGTCGCTCCAGATGCTTCATTTTATCAATAACACATTAATACCCATGACATCAATGCCACAATCTTACCCAGCTATCCCGCAGCCCGCGCCAAAAAAACGCGCCATGGCCCGTGGATCCGCCGCAGTCCTCACCCTTCTGACGGCATTTTGTGCACGAGCAATTGCTTCTGACACGTCTTACGACGCCACCGGCCTGCCGGTCAGCAACCTGCGCGTCGACCGCGACTTTGTCAACTGGCCGCTGCAGGTCTCCCTCGCAGCGCGCCTTGCTGCGGCGCCCGGACTGGTCGTCGCCCTGCAGTGCGACTGGGAGCTCTGGCGGCACGCCGCCCTGGATCTGGCCGGCAACCGCCCGGTGCTGTGCCTCAGCCGCCACTGCGGGCCGCTGAGGGTGCAAAAGGCGGCGCTGCAGGCGGCTCGCCCCGCGTGGGCGTTCCACTGCATGCATGCGCCTGACGAGTTTGCAGACGACCCAAATCCCAAACCCAGCGGCGGCGACAAGAAGCGCGGCAGCAAAGGGAAAGGAAAGAAGAAGCCCCCGGCCAACGGCGCAGAGCCGGCCATGGCAGCCGCCGCCGCCCCGCCGCGCGGCCCCGCTGCCGCCGCCGGCGACGAGGGCGAGCAGCAGCAGCAGCAGCAGCAGCAGCAGCAGCAGCAGCAGCAGCAGCAGCAGCAGCAGCAGCAGCAGCAGCCGCCGCCGCAGGCGCGCCCCGGCCGCAAGCAGGCGCTCAGCGGCCTGTCCAACGCTGAGGTGGACGCCCTCATGGCTAACGCCACGACGCTGGTGGTCGGCCTGCCGGCCGGCGGCGCCAAGCTGCAGCCGCCGCTGATCGCGGCGATGACGGCCCACATGAAGGCGCTGGAGCGGGTGGCCGTCCTGATGGCCGGGGACAAGGGCCGCCAGGTGCGGCGCAACACACCCGTTGGGGCGGGCCCTCACGGGCTGTGTTCTGTTTCGCTTCTAGTGCTGCCGCTGCTTCAGGGTGGACATGCGACCCTGCATGTGTTTGCCAGCTCGCGAGCGCATGCCGGGCACGGAGCACCGCGCGGTTGCATGAGACGTGGGCTGAGGCAGCCGTTCACTCCAAGGGCAGAAACAGATAATTGTTATCACTGCAACGCCTTGGTGGCCCCGCTACACTACGCACCCGTGCTGGCTGCCTGGCGACCACCCCCCCCCCCGCAGGTATCCCAGCTGGCTGTGATTGAGATGCAGGCCCAGCAGGCCACGGTCCTGTACAACCCCCAGAACAGGCGCGCCGCGACGCGTATTGCGCGCAGCGGGGCGGACTGCGCCGGACTGCGCCGCGGGACTGTGCTGCTGCAACAGCAGGCCACGGTCCTGTACACCCCCCAGCTTGTATGGGCGCACCCACAGCTGTGCGTGCCAGCCTGCGTGCTGGCGGCCTGATCGCCAAACCTCGACTCAAACATCCCTGCCAGCCTCAAATGCAAGAGGGGCCACCCTGCCGAGCAACGTCACGTGACGGCCCACTCATTGCAGCCGCGCCGGTCCGTGGCCCCACAGCGCAGCCCCCACCTCCACGCCCCTGCCGCGCCTCGGGATCGCGCAGGTATTACCTCGGACCCGACGAGGCGATCTTCCACGCCGCCTTCTGGCAGGCCGAGGACGCCAAGGCCCGCAGGGTGCAGGCGGCGGCGCGGGCCGCCAGCAGCTCCTCGAGCCGCGCCCCCAGCGGCGGCGGGGCTGGGGCCGAGGGCGCAGCCGGGATATTGGGGTATCACGCTGCGTCGGCGCCGCTGCAGCGGCGCGTGGGCGAGGCGCTCGAGCGGCTGGGCGTGCGGACGGTGCGCGGACGGGCGCGCGGGGCGCCGGCGCGCACGCGCGTGTGGGAGAGGCGGGTCACCTTGCACCGAGGTTCTCCCAGGGGCCGAGCGCGCAGACCTGCCCCTCATCCGCAGGCAGATTCAACGCACACATTGCGCTCAGCACGCATTCAAGGCCCCCCTTCAATTACCAGACATCATACTTGCTGCTCCGTGCCACTGTAACGCGTCGACTCCGCATGCGTGCAGTTGCGCATGTTCTCGCCCCGGCCCCCCTCTCGCTCGCTGCCGCCCAGGTGGTCCACGCCTACTGCGGCGCCCAGTCCTGGCTGCCGCCCGTCTTGGCGCGCCTCGCGGCGGCTGAGGAGGAACGAGAAGAGCTGGGCGATCAGCAACAGACAAGCAGCGGCGGCGGGGGCGGCGGCAAAACTAACAAGAAGACGAGCGGCGGGGGCAAGGCCAAGAGGAAGGGGGCGGAGCGGGGGCCGCCGCCGCCGGCTGCGGCGGATGCGGCGAGCCTGGGCGCGAAGCGGCGCCGCGCGGCTGGCGATGAAGGCGGGCGCCGCGGGTTCCATTATTATGGGATCGACGTCGCCTGCGACGAGATCCAG